ATTATCTTTTGAGTCTACTTGTGTGTCAGAGAGTCGACAGTGTTCATCAAAACTGGGTGTATAGGATGAACACTGCAGTGGATTTACAATATCTAAATTCCTGGCTATTTGTTATGAAAATTACAGCGATAAAAAGACTTTAGGTTGTTGATAGAGTATGATATGTTTGTTGAGAACTTCTTGTGTGTTAGTGTAGAGTAGATCTCTTTGTAATCAGAATTAATCTCTGAATGACGGAGCTTTGTCTTTGCGCGAATATTTCCCGTTTCTTTTCTTCTTTTTTTTTTTTTCTTTTTTCTTTTTTTTTTTTGGATAAATTGTATTAATCTTGAGTGGTTAGTTGATTTCTAGTAGTTGTTATGTTGAAATTTTGGTATCTATATTCCTTTGTTGAAATAGCATCCAAATTTAAAGTATTTTATCCTTTCATACGGTGCTCAGTTTTGTATTATGTTTTAGTTATTAGTTGATAGCTTTTTAAATAGTGTTACATCTAATATTAGATCTGAGTTGGGTTGCTTAAAAAATTTACACTGTATTCTAAATTGTATTTTCATATGCAGAAATTTTTTCTTAGATATTAAATTAGTTCTATCTGTAATGTGTATATATAGGTTTATGAATATTTGAATATCTATAAGTTTCATTAGTTTTATGATTACCAGTTAATTACATAGTAAGGTTTGTTGATTGCTTGCCATTAGCTGTTATGATTGGTGATTGGTTTATTATAGTTAAAAAAAAAAAAAAAATTATCACAAGTTGGGGAACTTGTAAACTTGTAAATGGTAATGCATATCATGGGTAATGATGTATTTATTTTAATGATTATATGCATGTTAATATTAAGATTACCCTTTTACAGTATGTTCCATATTCTAGTAACGCCTGTATGAAATACCATAGTTGATGGCATATAAAACCTGTTCAGGGAAAGAAGTGGTCTCACCGGGCCAATTTCTATGCTTGCTATGCTCTTCTTCTTCTTTATCTTTTATCTCTTATTCTCTCTGTCTGTCTGTCTGTTTGTGTCTCTGTCTCTCCCTCTCTCTCCCCCCTCTTTCTCTCTCTCTCTCTCTCTCTCTCTCTCTCTCTCTCTCTCTCTCTCTCTCTCTCTCTCTCTCTCTCTCTCTCTCTCTCTCTCTCTCTCTTTCTCTCTCTCTCTCTTTCCCTCTCTCTCTCTCTCTCTCTCTCTCTCTCTCTCTCTCTCTCTCTCTCTCTCTCTCTCTCTCTCTCTCTCTCTCTCTCTCTCTCTCTCTCTCTCTCTCACTCTCTCTCTCTCTCTCTCTCTCTCTCTCTCTTTCTTTCTTTTTCTTTCCATAAGTGCACCTTATATGCTGTCAAGTATGGTACAAATTGCATAATTTTTGGTTTCCCACTGAGGTACTTACTGTTGGAAATGTAGATTAATATACTGTATGAGCCACAAATAGTGTATAAGTATATGAGATATATATTTTTATGTAAGAACACCGTCTTGCTCTGCAAAGAGTAATGGAATCTTTAAGGAACTACATTTAATTTTCTGAAACACCTGTCGCGATGATCAGCAGAAAGTAACAATGTCATGAGATTATTTTGAGATTCTAGTGTTTATTGCAGAAGTATTACTTGTGTAATAATAGTATGTGACCGTGATAATCTCTCTCTAAGGCCAAAGAAATAAACATATCCAACCAATTGAATAGCTTTTGGGAAACGTTTTTACCTTTTCCTTTTTGATCGGTAAATGTCCAGGGTAAGTGACTCTCTTGAATATAGTTTCTCGGTCTCTCTTTCTATATTTCTCTCTTTCTCTTTCTATCTTTATTTCTCTCTCTTTTTCTTTCTATCTCTACTTCTCTCCATTAATCTCTCTATCTTTGTATCTCTTTCTCTCTCTCTCTTTCTTTCTCTTTCTCTTTCTCTATCTTTCTCTCTCTCTCTCTCTCTCTCTCTCTCTCTCTCTCTCTCTCTCTCTCTCTCTCTCTCTCTCTCTCTCTCTCTCTCTCTCTCTCTCTCTCTCTCTCTCTCTGTCTCTCTCTCTTTCTTTCTTTCTTTATCTATCTGTCTCTCTCTCTCTCTCTCTCTCTCTTTCTTTCTTTCTTTCTTTATCTATCTGTCTCTCTCTCTCTCTCTCTCTCTCTCTCTCTCTCTCTCTCTCTCTCTCTCTCTCTCTCTCTCTCTCTCTCTCTCTCTCTCTCTCTCTCTCTCTCTCTCTTTCTCTCTCTCTCTCTCTCTCTCTCTCTCTCTCTCTCTCTCTCTCTCTCTCTCTCTCCTCTCCCCCCCCCCTTTGTGTGTAGGTGCGTGCGGGCACATTTATATTTTTTCAGTGTCATTTAACCGAGTAAATGTAGAATGGACTATAGTATGATACGTAGGGTAACTTACCTTCGGCCTCATCCCTCGGGGATCCATGGATGGTATTCTCCTGTTTCATTGTCTAACCCTTAATCCTGCTGGGGATCCTGAGGAGTGAACCGTTTCTCTTCCCAACATACTCCAGGCTTATTATGGTTAACGACATAGGGACACTGAGGCTTGCCCCTTTAATTTTCCCGACCCCTCATTCCATATCATCTGCCCAGGTCATTGCTAGACCTTCAGAAAACATTCCTTACTCTCTCCCAACCTCCTGCACTCCATTTCTTTATCTTCCACAGTCTTCTTCATTTTCTACCCCCTCCTTCCTTATTTAATATTCTTCATCTGTCACGTACACGTACCAACTGTGGTGGCTCCCATAATGTACGAGTCAATCCCGTGCCCGTTGCTACCGGAGGGGACAGGGGTTAGAAGACCAGACAGGGATCACCCCTGCCTTGGGCCTCAGCCCTCTGGACTAATTTTGCATGGTCATTTCTTCTTCCCTTTCCGTCTCTCTCTTTTCCAATCCCTTTTGCTACACATTTCCTAGGGAGTGAGAACCGGGTTTAAAGGACGAAAGGCTAACATTGTGCCAGTCATGAACTCGGGGGGGAGTCATGGGCACAACATTCCTCTCTTTAGTTGTCTATCCCTTACCCCTCATGGGACCCCAAGGGGTGGACTGTTTCGCACAATATTCCTCTGTTTAGTTTAGTTGTCTATCCCTTACCCCCTGAGAGGTGGATTGTTTCGCTCCCCGTATTAGTGGTTTTGAAGCTTGCCCCTTTATCAGCTAAGTCCACTGATTTTAGTTCTCCCGTGTCCCAACCCCAGGCTCTCCTTTGACGACTTTGAACACTGCAACTACTACCCCTCCACAACACTTACTATCACCACAGTCCAGCCCAAATCATACACCTAGGTCATCACTCAACCCCCAGAAAACGTTCCACCTCTCTCTACCTCTACGCCATCTCCTCCAACCTCCACAGTTTTCTTCATCTGCTACCCCCTTCTTCTCTATTACTACTATACAGCCTTATTGTCCACCTCTCCGCGGTACTTCCTCTCCATCTTCCGCACGTCCCCGCCCTTCTACCATCCCCATTTCTGCAAACCTCTTGAATACTCTGACAGCATTCTCCTCTTCCAGCAACGCCTCCATAATCGAGTAGGCAAAGTATCCTTCCCGCCAAAGCATTACCAACCCTGACTGACTTCACTGGTAAACCTCTTATTGTCCAGCCTCATCCTTCTCTCAATTACTGGAACTGTCTCCATCTCCTTGACAAACTGCCTTACGACAAGGATGGGTCAGATTGTGGAGAAGACTTGTTCGCCTGCCTCGTGGACTATGATGCAGTGTCAGTGCAGAGCTACGCCATTCTCCTTAGAGGCCGCCATTAGTCCATCAATATTGCCAAGATTACTTTCCTTTTACTCCCTGTCCGGCTATTTCAACCTCCTCGTCTTCAATGTCAGAATTGTTGACGTCTAAGAGCCCGATGCCCTCTTTGTGCCTAACCTGGTCATGGTCGATCAAAGTGCTCTACACAGTCATGTGCGTGTGTCAACTATGGTGGCTACCATAATGTATGAAATTAAAAAAAAATGTATATCAGTCCTCCCACTTCAGAAACTCGAACACATTCAAAATTATCTAATATCTAATCCATCCTCTTCTTACTAATGTTTCCCTACACCCTTTCCTCCCCCCCCCCCCCTCAACTTCATCTGCCTCATCCCCCTTCCTCACCATGATCCCTTCCGCTTCCCCCTCGACACACGTGACTCTCCCTCCTGACATTTCTAATCGCCCTTAAACCCACTTCCTTCTTTGGCTAATCCCTACCTTACGCAATGGACATCCTTGCAGAATCACATACTTCTTCCTTTGCCAATTAATCACTCTTGTTAATTCCTATTTTAGTCCATTACTCGCTCTCTCTACCCTCACCCTCTTTGTCACTTTCAAGGCCACACTGTCCTGAACTGCTCTACGATTTTTGGCGTTTTGACGCTGAATCATCAACTAACCTCCATCTTCAGCCTCTTCACTGCTACGCCTTTTTATAGTGCTATATGGCCTTTGATGTCTAGCCCTTTTATTTTGTTTTGTAACCATTAAGTATTAACCCCCTTCTTTCCCTATTGTCCTTTTCGCTCCCTCTCGTATGCTCACGCGACGTCCTTCAGTCACCACAGTGTCCTTCTCCGGATCCTCCTCCTGGCAGTTCCTCCCGATACTTTGCATCCATCTCCTGCTTCCTTGTTGTCTCATCCCCTGGGTTCTTCTCCTGCTTCTCTGACACCAAGCTCTGCCCATGTTACCCGTTGACTGCTTTATAACTGGTCTTTTGCATTGTTCCTCTACTTTCCTTGGCACATAAATACTTTTGATTTGATTTAGTTGAATGTCAATCGTAATAATGATAACACTCACTGTAAAATTAGTTTTTTAAGCCAGGTACAGGACCCAAAAATCAATAGTCCATTTTACGAAATTATTATCTGCAGATGTGGATGAAAATGTAAAGAGAAATACGTATTTGCAAGTATACTTACTTTTTACATTTTTTTCAGTTAGGAAATTCAAACACCGTTGTTTAGATATTATTTAATAAGAATGTATAGAGAATATAAACCATAAAAATTTCGTTAATGTAGATCTGGATTTATGATATGTGTACTAAAACTATATAAAAAGAAGTTAAGATACTGGTAATCTTACTTTTTTTTGTATAAATATCACCTTAAACATACAGCATTCGAATTGTACACAAATCTAAACAGTTCCTTTCTAGTCGATACAAATAACTAGACAGCTGCATAGTGACAGGCAAGATTTAATTCCACTTCAGGTATGAATAAAGGAGCGGGCAGCAGCTTGCATCTATTCAGCTTAGGTGTGTAGAGGAAGTAGATTCTACCATACAACGCTTGCTGTTAGAATAGGTAAACAGTGGAACTAAAGGTAGTAGTTTATCACACTTGGAATATATGTATGAATACACTTTTAAGGCAGAAGGTAATGAGGAAAGATTAACGGTATTTGTACGTGTGTATGATCACTGAATGCTTTATGAAACTATTGGCACAAATATTATTCAGTTTTCATCTCCTATGAAACGAGTCGGAATTCCTTTGTGTTTTATTGAAAGAGCAAGAGTGACAAATGCACACACATTTAACATCAGATAGTACTTAAGAAACATTACACTATGTAGGTTTCTGTCATGAGGAATACAGTGAGTGACACATAACGGATTATTTTCTGAAGGGACAGTTTATTCACGGAGCGAGACTCAGGGAATGGGTTTCCACACACAGGAAGAGTAAAACGTACGATAAGTTTGAGAAGCAAATGTGGCTCTGTTGAAGAAAATGTCTATATCTGTTCATAGGCTAAGTATGTGAACACGGTCGAACTGTATAAGCGTGCATCTGGACCTGTCAAATGCATTAAGTAATTGTTCATGCGACTTACACTGCTTGACGTCTGTTTGTTTTGAACTCGAAATTGTAGCATTGTTTGCGGAATCAGTGTCTTCTATGCTGACTAAAGAGCATTAGATTCACGTTAATGTTTCTATCTTATTTCATGATTATCAGCGTAGCTTATTGAATTAAAAGCATGTATCGATTTTTTGCGCTAAGAGAGAGAGAACTAAAACATAATCAAAATAAAGAGTTTCTTAAAAAAATAGGAACGGAAGAGATTTAAGATATATAAAGCTATGCTAGCTTTACGGTCTCTCTTTGTATTTTTCTTTAACGGCCAAATTAACAGCAATCACGCAATCAAGCTATGTAAATTTGCATACTGTAATATTCCCGGTTCGCTCGCCAGTATTTCACTCTTCATATTTTTTTTCACCCTTGAATAAGATTTATAATACATGATTAAATCACATACCATAACATAATTACGAAAATCAAATCACTGATTAATGAGACTAAACTATTGTTCTCGTAAAAAAAATATCTGATCATGTACCAATTCGCCAAAAAGTCACTCTGTTCCTTATCTAATATACCATTTGCCTTCCAGCACAGCATAATACTGATTTTTCTATCACTAATGTTCAGTTCCCTTCAACTTTTGAAATCCACAAATTAACTTTTTTTTTTAATGAACTATATCTTGCACATTCAATAATACAGTACCGTTATAAATACAAACAACGGATGCCATACGTAACCAGTACAAAGAACTGTCCATCCGGTAATGTAATTGATACATGCAAATACATCCCCATCATGCAAAAAAAAAAAAAAAATCACATTACGAATCCCCTAAGTTAATACTCCGAGCAGCGTTCACCACGGACTCGAGGGTGAGGTCCGACTCGGTGGAGGAGAAGAGTGAATCCCCGGAGTCGATCCCGTAGCTGAAGTCCAAGCTGTTCGAGCCCGACATGGCCGACTCCGGACTCGACTGCACGGGCGTGGACATTCTGATGATGGTGTCCTCCGTCGTGCGGGCTCGGGGCGTCGGGAGGCCGGCGTGGCTCTGGAGGAGGGGCTTCTGCTGGGGCAGGAGCGGGTCGGGGGAGGCGAGGTCGTGCTCGTCGTCGATCTCGTCCTCCAGGCTGGAGTACGAGTCCATGGTGTCTTCTGGAAGGAGGAGATGCCGGGCTTCAGAAGAGGTTTCCCGCTTTGTTATGGATGGCATACTAAACACACACACACACATACACACACACACACAGACACACACACACACACACACACACACACACACACACACACACACACACACACACACACACACACACACACACACACACACACATACACATACACATACACACACACACACACACACATATAATATAGATAGATAGATATAAATTTAGATACATATTATATATATACATTATATATATATATATATATATATATATATATATATATATATATTATAAAAATTTACATATACATACATATACGTATATACATATACAAATGTATACACACACACACACATACACATACACATATACACACACACACACACACACACACACACACACACACACACACACACACACACACACACACACACACACACACACACACACACACACACGTATATATATATATATATATATATATATATATATATATATATATATATATATATATATATATATATACGTATATATATACACATATATATATACATATATATATATACATACATACATATATATATATATATATATATATATATATATATATATATATATATATATATATATATATATATATATACATATCTGTGTATGTGTGTGTGTCTATACATACACCTGCACACAGACACACGGAGACAGTTTTTTATGTGTTAATCTCCAGCCCTGACACGGAGAGTTATGATCTCCGCGCAGCCTCGAGCCCCTTCAAGGGCGAGGGAAGGGAAGCTGGAGACCCTCTGGAAGCAGGAAGAGGGCGAAGGGGAATGCAAGGACGACACTCACTCGCCGCATTCCCTCGAGTTTTACAAAGGCATTGAAAACCGTCGTCGTCCTTCGTGGCTTTTAATACGGTTT